ACACGTAAATCGGGTGTCATTCCTGCACTCAGGGAGCTGGGTACCTAGTAGGCTAGATAGACTAGTGAGCAGATGCTTTCACCAGGGTCGGGAGCCCATACAGATCCACGCTGGGTGCTACGCAAGAGGCAGCTCCCCAAGGGTTGGGAAGTCCAGGAAGCCTTCCCAGAGAAGGGAGCTTCAGAGCGGACTCCTTAAGGATAACTAGAAGTTTGCCAGGAGAAGAAGGAGGAGGAAAGAAGAAAGGCTTCTGAGGCAAAGGGAAGAGCATATGCACGTAGCTGTAATAATTAATTTTATGTGTCAACTTCTCCACTGGGTGCTAGATCAAACAATTTTCTGGGTGTGTCTGTGACGATGTTTCTGAATGGGATTAACATTTGAAATAGTGCACCTGGCAAAGTAGATGGGCCTCCTCAATGTCGTTGGGCATCATTCAATCAATTGAGGGCCTGAAAAGAACAGAAGGCACAGGAAGGAGGAATGTGCCCCTTCCCCACCCCTGTAGCTTCCTGCCTACCTGCTCAGGCTGGAACATAGGTCTGCTCCTGCCCTTGGATGGGACTTACACGACTGGCTCTCCTGGTCCTCAGGCCTTCAGACTCCGACTGGAACTGCACCACTGGCTCCCCTGCCCCTCCCGCCTGTAGATGGCCAAATATAGGACCCCCAGCCTCCACAATCTTGTGAGCCAATTCCTCGCAGTAAATGAATCTCAGTCTGTCTCTCTCTCTTTCTGTGTTTCTGGTTCTCTGGAGAACTCATCTCATACAATGGCCAATTCTGAGATCTGCAATTAGCTTATTTCACTGATCATAAAAATTCATTTTCCCCCACATTTTAACTTCTCTGAAATCAGGATGCAGCTAACCATCCATGGCATCCTACAATTTTGTTCTTGGTGACTGATAAAAGTAAGGCTTAAAGCACCCTAAAGTGAATGGAATTTAAGTAATTTAAGTTACGGGGCCCCTTGTTTGCATGGGCCCCTTCCAAAGCTTTGTACTTAATTTTGGGTTTACCCTCTTAGAATGGGTGCACTAAATGGTATGAGCCTTGGGCCTCACATGCCTGCATCCACCTCTAATGTGTTTTAGAAGATTGGTAATTCGATAGGTCTAAGATTAGTATTTGTAGGGGAAGAAGGAGAGGGGATGAGGGAAGACATGAGTGGTGAGAGACTGGAGGTTTAGGATCTAATTTCAGTGAATGACAGCTACATCCTTTCATCTGGTGGAAGAAGCCAGAGACCTCAACTCCTGCCTCTCTCTCCTGCCCCATGTGCAATCCATCATTATGTCCTGTATACTTCTCCTGTGATAGAGACTCCTACTTCTCCTTCAAACTCTGTTTCTTCCTTCCATAAGGCATAGAACCCTCTAGTTTTAACCAGAAGCATGACCACCCTGAACAAAGACTGCATTTTCCAGCCTCCCTTCTAGTTAAATGTGGACACGAAGCTGAATTTTGGCCAAGGGAATGTGTAGTGTATCTTGAGAGTTTCCTTAAATTGAAGTAGTCTCTCATTCTCCCTCTTTCTTTGGTCCTGATACCAGGAATGTGGACGTGATTGCCGGAGCTTCAGCAGGAGTCTTGGACCATGAGGTGACTTTAGGAATGGGGGCTAGACATGATGGAGCAAAATGGAAGCCCAGGTCCCTTGCACTGTGGAGCATTATATCAGTCTTACATTATCTACGTATGAACTTTCACCTGAAAGAGAAAAAAACTTCTGTTTCAAGTAAGATACTGTTTGTTTGTTTGTTTGTTTTGTCACTTACAGTTGAAATCATTTCTAGCTAATAATCCACGTCACTGAAAGTTCTCATCACTATCCTAATCAGAGTTACCAATATTTCTTGCTTGGACTTTTGAAAGAATCTGTTAATTGATACCTCCAGATTCACTCATATCCATCCCAGCCTCCTTCCAATGAATTTTCTATGTAATAGCCAAAGCGATTGATTCATAATGCAAATAGACCGTCAGCCCCTGTGTTGGTCTGACCAGGCTGCCGCAATAGAGTACCCCAAACTGGGTGGCCAAAACAAAAGAAATTTATTTTCTCATAGTTCCGAAGGTTGGAAGGCCAAGATCAAAGTGTGGCAGGCTCTCTGGAGAGAGCTCTCTCCTTGGTTTGCAGACAGCACCTTCCTGCTGTGTCTTCACATGGCCTTTTCTCTGTGTGCATGTATGCATGTGCACAGAGACAGAGTGGTCTCTGGTGTCTCTTCCTCTTTTTACAAGGATACCAGTCCCATTAGATTAGTCTCATCCTTATGACCTCATTTAACCTTAATTACCTCCTTAACGGCCCTATCTTCAAATACAGTCACATTGGGGGTTAGGGCTCCAACATGTGAACTTTGGAAGGGACACAATTCAGTTCTTAACACTACCCTTATTCAATAATATCAGTGACTTCTTATTGCTTTTAGGGTAAAATTCAGCAGTTAAAATGGCAACACTCTTGTATGGTTTGGGCCCTATTTTTATCTCATGGCATGCTTCTCCTCATTCCCCATGCTTTAGCTGCACTGGCCTTTCATTTTCTCAGGTGTGCATGATTTCTTCCACCTCAGGGCCTTTGCACATGCTGTAGTTTCTGTCCTAAATGCTCTTCCTCCCCTTCTGTCCTTTTGCTCGGTAAACCTCTCTCCATCAGCTCTCAGGTCAGTCATCTGATCTTCAGGGAAGCTGTCTCAGATCTAGTTTTTAATCCCCATTCCTCCATTATATGTTCTCATAGCTCCATGCACCTCTTTTTAATAGCACTTATCATAATTTTGCCTTTATATTTTGATCAAGATTCTTTGGTTAATGTTTGTCTTTTCCATTAGATGATAAACTCCATGAGAATAGGGATATGTCACTTTTTGCTTATTATTATTTTTCTTATTGTGTGCCTTCTACAGTATCTGGCACATATCTGATTCTCAACAAACATTTTCTGAACGAATAAGTGAGAGCTAAGTGGGAGTTAGGTCATGTAGAAGTAGGTATGCCAAACAAGGAGTTGGGGCTTCATCCTCAATGATATATAGCATGGCACTCAAGGATTTTTGGCAGTGAAGTGAAATAAAATAGATATTAAAAAAAAATAAGATAGGTGTTTTAAAAAATCATTTTTGCCAGCACTGTGAAGAATGTGTTAGAAAAACCTATGTTGTCATTAAAGTGACAAGTTTCAAAGGTTGTAGCAGATATCCATGTGGAAAATAAAGGCTTGAGTTAAATTTGTGTTAGTCCCGTTCTTTCTGAGAATTCTTCAGCGTAAATCACATTGGGTCTCAGTTTCCTCCCCTGCTGGTTTGGGATTTGGCTTTTGCCGCCTGGTTAGTGAATTATCTTTGTTCATCTGTTTTCCATCTTCCAGTATGTTGCTGCTGTTATTGTATTTCCTGTTCTTCTTGTTTTTGTTGATTTATTTTTGAAATCCCTTTACTATAGTTTTAGTAGAGTTTGGGGGGGCAAAATTATAGGCATACGTTTAATATACCACTTTCACTTGGAACTCCCAACATTTTTGTTTCATTATAAAAATTCTTTATTGCTTATTGCAAGAAAATTGCCTTTCACATTGGCCAAGATTTTTTTTTAAGTGACAATATCAAATGATGGCAAAACTGAGGATGAAAGAGTGGGAGTATAAAGTGGTACAACATTCCTGGAGAGTAGTGTTTCCCCAAAGGCTTAAAATATACTTACTATTTGAACCAAAAGTTCCACATGTTGGAATTTATCCTAAGGAAATGATTAGCTTTAAGTTCATTGCAGTGTTGTTTATAATATTGAAAAACTGTCCGACGATTAAGGGCTGAGTAAATAAACTAGGCTCCTTCACAAATTATATATGTGGTCATTAAAAATTATGTTGTTGAACCAAGTTCGTCACATAGCACTACTCCAGAGAATACGCATACATGGTCTTTTGCCAAGGCACACGTGAAGCTGTAGAACAAATCTAGCTCACCTTCCTCCAGCACTAGTTACTGGTGATTTGGGAGTGTGGAGACACTACTCTCTATCCCAGCATCCTTTGTGCCTTTCTTCCTTGGTAACAAAACCCTGATTTGTAGCAGGGGATGTCGCTGCTCAGAATAAAATAAGACTACATTTCCCTGTCTCTGTGGTACCTAGGTGTGGCCTTAAGATTAAACAGAACCAACGAGATGTCAGTGAAAGTGCTGATAGACTTCTGGGGATGGAGACTCCTGATGGAGATGAATGAGGATGAGGAGATGGGAGGTGAGTATTTCGCTCCTTTCTTGTACTTAAAGGCTTCTGCTCGGTGGTGGGGGGGGAATATATACATATACACACACACACACATATAACACATTTAAAATTCTTATTAAAGTGAAAATACAAAAACGTTCAAATATCTAATTGTAATCAGAGGGGTGTAGGGGGAGGAGAAAAAGAAGGGAATGTGGGAGAACACTGACTGACTTCTATGAGAATCTTGATACGCAATGATAACCTTCCTGTATTATTAAATCCCACTAGAAAAGGCTGGCAAGGCTCGTATAAACTGCTTGTGAGACTCCTTTTGGTGCGTCGTACAGAGCCTATTTGTAAGTCCTCTAGATAAAACAAGAGCAGGAGCGGGGTTATTTCACTTTGTAGAACCCAAGATGCCGGCCCTCCCCCTCCTCCCAAATTTGCCTCGGATCTAATATGCAAGATCTCAGGATTTACATTCTGTGACGTGGATTTCGGAGTGTGCCTCCTGTCTGCGGCATCAGAAAACCTTGGACAGAGGTGGCCCCACATCTTTTTGGAATTTGCCGCAGGAAAGTGAGGACCACTAGACAGACGGGCCGAGAAGACGCTCGCTGGGGACCAATCCCGTAAGTCGGGGGCGGGGTGACCCGGGGCCCCGCCCCTCTGCGCAGCCAGTAGCTGCGGCGGGCGCGGGAGGGGCGGGGCGAGCCCTGTTGCCGACGTCGTGATTGGCTTGCCGGCTCGCTCTGTCCACTAGGCTACCCCGCTGTCCTGCTCCCGAGAAGCCCGGGCAAGTGAGGCTCCACAAAGTTTGTCCGCTCCGGGGCACCGTAGTTGCTTTACCCCGGCTGAGCGGCCGGGCCGGGCTGGACGGCGGAGCTCGCCTCCGTGTAGGGGTCCTTGATGGCTGCGGTGTTTCTAGTAACGCTCTACGAGTACTCGCCGCTTTTCTACATCGCGGTGGTCTTCACCTGCTTCATCGTGACCACCGGCCTGGTATTAGGATGGTAAGTGCCCCAGGGCTGCGGGCGAGGGACGGAGGGCGGACAGCCGGGGAGCGGGGTCGCGGCGAGCGGCGGGGGCTGGGGGGCTGGGCGCCCGGGGCTCTCGGGAGCCGGGCTGAGGGCTCCTCGGCTCCGGGAGGGGTGCGGGGTGGACGCCGCACCTGCGTCGCTGCCTTGTGTCACCGTGGCTGCGGGCGTCTGGGGTGGTGCCGGATGGAGGTGTGTTATCCAGCTTTGTTTCTAGGGGGTAAAGCAGCCGGGAAGGGCTTGGTTGGGGTGTCGGGATAGAGAGCGTGGCAGTCAGGCTTCTGTCCCGGATTGGGGCCTACTGTGTGCCCAGAGTGAGTCGGTCACCTGCGGGACGGTGCGCGGACGTGGACAGTAAACAAGGGCGATTGTTGTTCCTCTGACTGAGCTGAGCGCTTGGCCTCAGAGCTTCCAGTGTAATTTATAACTGAACTCTGTTACCGGTTGAGAATTTAATGGTTTCTACGCACATTCCACACCTTTGGAAGTAATATTTAGTCGGTAGGATTATAAAGTTCAAAGTCATAATTTTAGAGATGGAAGAGACCTTAGAGATTAGTTACGCTAAGAGGCAGAGGCAGTTTACCTTTTGGAGACAAGGAGAATGGACTGTTAGATAATCCCTGAGCAGTTCTTCTAGCCCAGAGAGTCTAAAATTTCTCTCTTGTGGAGATGCCGTTGTATCATGTTTAGAGAAGCCTTATAAATTCAGCTAGTCGAAACCATCTTACTAGTCCATCCGCTGAGGAGACAGACACGAGCTGGCTTTTGAAGAATGAGTATTTTGGAAAATAAATGGAGTTAAATGTGTGTACTAGAGAATCGAAGGTGTTTCCGAGAACACAACATGAGCCGACAGGCAGAGGAGACGTGTTAGTGAATAGAACAGGCTGTGTAAAATGAGTTTAAAAATACCCTCGGATCACATATATGTGATTACCTTAAAGGAAGGACTCAAGCCCTTGTCAGTTTCTGAAAACATATGCCATCTTTAGGGACTAAATAGCTTTAACGTTTCCACACTGCTCCCCATCCTGCCCTCCATAGGGTATAAAATTCCTTGTTTGTGGGTGGGGGAAGATTAAGACCAATCTTAACAGTTTGTTGTTCTTGATCCATCAGATTTTGTTGCTATTGTTCATTTCAACAAAGTTTGTGATTGGAATTAGGAAGTTGTTGCCCAAGTGAGAAAAACAGTCTTAACACAGGATTTTTTAATGACTATAATATTAGTGGTATTCTCTTAAATGTAATTTTCCTCTGTTGAGGAAAATAGGTAAGTAGTTGATAATTGCATTAATGACAGGGATACACTCTGAGAAATTCATTGTTAGGTGATTTCATCGTTGTGCAAACGTTGTCAAGTGTACTTAGACAAACCTAGATGGTGTAGTTGGTGGGAGGAGGTAGGAAGGTAGGGAGAATTAAAGTGATGAGAAAGAGGCTGGGGGATAGAATGAAGAGTATGTATAGAAAGGTGGGTTTTTTTTTTTTGCACTCCAAAGGATGAAGGAAAGAAAGAAAGTGGGGGAAGGTAGCTAGCCTCTGGCTGTCATAGGAAGGTTATATCTTGGGTCCTACCACTCCCTATTTCAGAACGTAACCTCTAAAAGGCACTGGGGCAGTGATGAGCAGTGGAGATAGAAGCAGTGGGCTGATTGATTTTGAGGATCAAAGAGGAGAAGTTACTGGATTTGTTTTCTCTCTCTCGCCCTTCTTCTGCTGACCCCTAAGTCATCATTATCATTGCTAGCACTTACCTAGTGCCAAGCCCTGTTAATAACATTTACAGGTGGGGAAACAGTCACACAGAGGTTGAGTGATTGCTTAAGGACACATGGCTATTAAGGGTCTTGTTTCTGATTTTAGGAGGAAAGCCTTCAGTCTTTCATTAAGTATGATGTTACCTATACATTTTTTATTGCTACTCTTTATCAGGTTAAGTTCCTTTACATTCCTAGTTTGCTGATGATTCTTATCAGGCATAGACATTGGATGTTAGCAAGTGCTTTTTGTGCATGTATTGAGATGATCTTATGCTTTTCCTTTTTTAGTCTGTTAATAGGATGAATTACATTGAATTTTTAATGTTGTATGCCAACCTTGCACTCCTGAGATAAACCTTACTAGGTCCTGATGTATTAACCTTTTTATATGTTGTTGGATTTAAGATGCTAAAATTTTGTTAAGAATTTTTGCATCTGTGTTCCTGAGTGATATTAGTCTGTTAGTTTTCTTGTACTGTCTCTGCCCCTCCTCTGCAGACTTCAGTTACATGTATATAAACCTACCTGAAGTTGCCCCCAGCTCACTGATGTTGTCTTTATTTTTGTTCAGCCTTTTTTCCCCTCTCTGTTTCATTTTGGATACTTTCTGTTGCTATGTCTTCGAATTTACTAATCTTTTGTTCTGCAATGGCTAATCTGCTATTAATCCCGTCCACTGTATTTTTCATCTCAAACGTATTTTCATCTTGAAAAGTAGATTTGGGTCTTTTTTATATCTTCCATTCTCTGTACAATATCCTCAATCTTTACATACCTGTTTGAAAATATGGAGTGTAGTTATAACAATTATTTCTGATGCCCTTGTCTACTAATTCTATTATCTGTATCATTTCTGGGGTCTGTTTCTATTGATTAGTTTCTCTTCTCATTATGAGTTATATTTTCCTGCTTTTTTGCATGCCTGTTAATTCTTTATTAGATGCTGCGTTGTCAGTTTCACCTTATTGGGCGCTGGATGTTTTTGTATTCATGTAAATACTCTTGAGCTTTGTTTTGGGATGCAGTTAACTTACTTGGAAACGGTTTGATCTGTTAGAGGCTTGCTTTTCAGCTTTTTCAGGGAGGACCAGAGCAGACTTATTCAATTGTTGTATAAAATTAAATTAATCTAGAGTAAAGTTTTATTCCATTTGTTAATTTTATTGGCTTTATCTTGGTGTTAGGTTTATTCATGTGTTTTGAAATTTTAATTGCCAGCTAAATTTTAGTGGGAGGGTTTTTCACCCCTCCGTTTGTCCTCACCCTTGCTGTTTAACTATTTTATAATTACATTTACCCAGATTCCTAGACCCCTCCCCCACCCTCAGTCAAGGACCAAGTCTTATAAGGACAGTTCTGCCCCATATTTATATTGGTCTAACCCAGCTCCTGGTTTCAAGTTGTGAACCTGGCTCCAGCCCTTGTCTTGAGTGGACAACCTATAAGTCTCTCTTAACTATGTGAAGGCTTTGTTACCACTACCTGCTGCCTGACTCAGAACCCGTCAAACCATGGCATCAGCTTTATATTTCTTTCCCTTGTCAGATTCATAAACATTTGTCTTTGAACCCAGTTATGTCTCTTTTTCCCAACATTTTATTATAAAAATTTTCAAACATACAGAAAACTTGAAAGAATTCTACAGTGAACACACATATGACCATCACTTAGGTTCTACAATCATCATTTTGCTGTAATATCTTTATTACATATCTGTAGATCCATCCGTCCTTCTATCTGTCCATCAGTACGCCTTATTTCTTGATCACTTCCAAGTAAGCTGTACTCTTCACCTGTAAGTACTCAAGCATTGCATATTATTAGCTAGAGTTCAGTATTTATTTTTGTTTATAGTTCATTTTTTCTTTTGAAGTAATATTTACGTACAGTGAAATGTACAAATTTTAAGTGTTTTCAAACACATCATCTATACAACTCAAACGTCTATCGAGATTCAGAACTTTACCATCACCAGAGAAAGTCTCCTTATGCCCTTTCCGTCAGTCTGTATTCCTACACCCCCAGAAGCAACCACTGTTCTATTTTTTATGTGTACTATAGATAAGTTTTGCCTGCTCTAGAATTTCATATTATAGAATCATATGGCATGTACTCTTTTGTGTAAGCCTTCTTTTGCACAGCATGTTGATTTTGAGATTTATCCATGTAGTTGTAGGAATAATTTATTCCTTGTCATTGCTGAGTACACTATTACTTTGTTTAAACACGTTGCAGTTTGTTTACTCATTTCAGTGGGGTCTGTTTGATTTCTCTTTTTGTTTTTTATCTGCTACGGGTTTGCAGAGAAGAGAGTACATCAAAGTTTGAACCTGACTCTGCCACCTTAACTTAAAGTCCCTTAGTTTAACTAATGTGTATTCATTTTAAGTTAATTAGTTAATTAATTAATTTTTAAGATTGGCACCTGAGCTAACATCTGTTGCCAATGTTTTTTCTTCTTCTCCTCCTCCTTCTCCTCCCCCTGCCCCTCCCCCGCCGCCCTCCCCAAAGCCCCGAAGTACATAGCTGTATATTCTAGCTTTAGATCCTTCTAGTTGTGCTATGTGGTTCACTGCCTCAGCGTGGCCTGATGATCAGTGCCATGTCGGCGCTCAGGACCCGAACTGGCGAAACCCCGGGCTGCCAAAGCAGAAGCGCAAACTTAACCACTCAGCCACAGGGTGGCCCCAGCTACTTTCTAATTTTATAAGGAATGGAGTTATAGTCCTTTTCATGTCACATTTTTACATGAAATTTTAAAATAGAAAATATATAAATGAAGGGCTGTTTTTGGTGCTCAAAAGTTTTGTTTCATAAATAATGGCAGATAGTCTACATATTACATGTGTATTTTTCATATCATTTAAAAATTTGATAATTCTATCATGTTTTTACTGTTAGGTACAGTTTATCTATAATCACTGTGCTCCTTTATTATCAACAATAATATTAACAATAGACCTCTTTGTTTTTAAGAGTGTATCAGGGCTGGCCCCGTGGCCGAGTGGTTGAGTTTGCGCGTTCTGCTTCGGTGGCCCAGGGTTTCACAAGTTCAGATCCTGGGCAAGGACATGGCTCATCAGGCCATGCTGAGGCAGCGTCCCACACAGCACAACCAGAGGCACTCACAACTAGAGTATACAACTATGTACTGGGGGACTTTGGGGAGAAGGAAAAAACAAAGATTGGCAACAGATGTTAGCGCAGGTGCCAATCTTTAAAAAAAAGAAAAAGAGTATGTCACTTTACCCATCTGAACAATATATTGTACATCTTTTATTTATTTATTTTTAATTTTTTTTATTTTTCAAGGAAGATTGACCCTGAGCTAACTGCTGCCAATCCTCCTCTTTTTGCTGAGGAAAGCTGGCCCTGAGCTCACATCCAATGCCCATCTTCCTCTACTTTATATGTGGGACGCATGCCACAGCATGGCTTAACGATTGGTGCCATGTCCACACCCGGGATCTGAACCAGCGAACCCTGGGCCTCCGAAGTGGAATGTGCGCACTTAACTGCTGCGCCACTGGACTGGCCCATGAGCAATATATTGTAAATCTATGAAACCTCTAATCTCTCTTAATTCTAGATTAATTCTTCAATTTAATGTAAATTGAGTAACTTAATCTCTTTTTCTGATACTTATATTAAAAGGAATAACTAAGAGAAGCGTTACGTAGTTTACATATAACAAATTATGTTTTATTTTATTTTTACCCTTCTTCAGGTTTGGTTGGGATGTTCCAGTAATTCTGAGAAATTCAGAAGAGGCCCAGTTCAACGCAAGAGTTTTCAAAAAGCAAATGAGACAAGTCAAGAATCCTTTTGGCTTAGAGATCACTAATCCGTCTTCAGCTTCAATTACAAGTTGGTGGCTATTTTCCAAAGATTTTCTCCTTTGTGTACCCCTTTCCTAGCCCTTTGATTTTCTTTCTCTATGACTTTCTCTTCATTAGGCTTAACAGACACTTACTGAGCACCTGTTTTGTTCCAGGAGCTGTACTACATATTACAGATACAAAGATTAGTAATTCACCAAGCTCGATCCTAAAGAACTTACCAAGTAGTAAACAGAGGCACTTGGATGAGAGAAGTAAAATATCACAGGCGTTAATAAGAGAAGTCTCTTAGGACACTGCAGTGAGAAATGTGACGATGGCATAGTATCAGTACAATTAGTGTACGGTACGGCTGCCAACCTTCTGGAGGACAATTCTCTCTTAATCTGAAATTATGCTATTTTTGGTATAAATTATTTAGGTATAAAGTGGCATTTTGGTAGATGGTAATAGTAGATGGTAGTTGTTTGTTTCTGTACTTGGAAAAATAATTGCAAGACTATCTAGGAACCAGTAGAAAGAAAGAGAGGAAGGAAGGAGAGAAGGAAGGAAGAGTTAAGTTTGCTAAGGGGAGGCATAGTCAGGGAAATCTTCATGAAGGAAGAATGTGCTGAGTCTCTCTCACTATCTTATTTTTTTCTTTCTTCCATTTTTTTTTTGACTAGAGTCTTGAAAGATAAGTAGGTGTGTATCTCTTGGGATTGGGAAAAATTGTAAGTAGAAGGAGAAGTGTGAGCAAAGCCCCAGGATAGAACAGAACCACATGTTAGAGAAACAATGAATAATTTGTTGTGGATTAAACATATGGTGGGACAGGTAAGAGAAGAGTCAGGAAGACTCAGGTTCTTTGCATGGGTCCTCCATAGACAATTCCTATTACCGAGACAAGGAGTACAGGAAAAACAAGTTTTGGAAAAAAGGCAGTGAATTCAGTTTCTGGACTTTGAAATGCTTTTGTGACCATTAGATAGAGATATAGAGTAGGCAGGTCTGGATACAGTTCTGAGCTCTACAAAGATTTCTGAGCAGAGACCTATTGCCTTTTACACTTGCTCACGTTTCTGACATCTTAAAAATAACCAAAACTTTCTTAACTCCTTATCTTACTCTAGCTACTGTCCTATTTCTCCTCTTCCCTTCACAGCCAGACTGCTTAAAACCAGTTTACATTTTCCTTCTCCTCCGAGCCTGCTTCCCTGTCACTCCTCAGAGCCGTGCACTCTGACTTTGCCTGTATCCCTCTACTGAAATGCTTTTCTCCAAGGTCACTGATGACCACGTCTGCCTTCCACCTCCAACCCCCAGCAGTCATACAATCCAGTGGACGCTTTTCAGGCCTGAGTTGGTGCTCTCTCTGCTGTATTTAACTGAGTCGACCAGTCTTTCCTTCTTGACACACTGTTCCCTTGGTTTCTGTGACCATTCTTATCTAGTCATCTTCCTGCCTCTAACTTCCAGAATCACTTGTCAAAAATCAGTGTATTTAGTCAATAGGGATTATCAACCTAAGTAATCTTGATTGACAAGGAAAACGTACAAAATTTCTTATTCTTCTTAAGCTATAAATACTATAGCATAGCTCTATAAACTGAAGGGAACTAAGGACTTTTTTCCCCTAATGGTTGATAAGGGTTTCATTCTGACATTTTTCACTTGGGAAGATCAAATTTCAAGATATGACAGAGAAAACTAACTTGTTTAGAAAACATGCCTGATTAAAATGTGGTGGTTCAGTGACCCCTGACCTCCATGGCCACGCACTGGGACCTGCTATAATATCACATCTGGCTCTTGAGCGGGACTGCCAATAGAAATACCTACCAGTCCAAAGCCATCCTTCCCGCAAGCCTGGAAACACACTGAAAAAGTAAGAACTGATACCTTGTGAGCAGACACACACAGGACACTCGTGAGCCACAAGGTGTGAGTAAATCCATCAGTCTGCCTTTTGGGCAGAAATAGTCTCAAATGAAGCCCACCCCGTAAATGTTAGCAGCAAGTGGAAAGATACCGGTAAGCAGAAGACCTCTCAGCTATGCCCAGCACACTAGGTGCTAACCAACAGTAGCATTACTGAGTACATGAACAAATTTGGGGGCCAGCCCCAGTGGCCTGGTGGTTAAGTTCAGCACATTCTGCTTTGGTGGACCATGTTCAGTTCCCAGGCACGGACCTACACCACTCATCTGTCAGTGGCCATGCTATGGTGGCGGCTCAGATACAAAAAGAGGAAGATTGGGGCCAGATGTTAGCTCAGGGCGAATCTTCCTTGGCCAAAAAAAAAAATTTAAAATATGTGAACTTAAGGCATACTCATTGAAGTATTTTAATTTTTAAAATACCAATACATATCATTATTTGTTTTCTATAGGGAAATAAGGAGAAGGATTTTGGTGGGAATTGTACTCAGCAGAATAAACTGAAATGATGGGTGTCACTAAAGATGTCTAACCAGGACATTGAAATAATATTCTGAGCAATAATTGTGACATTTTAAGGTGTTTATTTCATTTGATGTGTAGCTAATTTAAAAATCCAGGTTTTTTTTCATCACTGTATCCAAGATGCCTTGACATAGGGGAGGGAGGGAACATCTGGAGACCTGATTTACTTGAAAATAAACCAGAGAATCAGCTTTAATCTTAGTCATTTAGTTCTGTTTATTAGGGATGGGTTGTTGAGATTTTTTTGTTGTTATGTAATGAGGCTGTATTTGGATTTATGATGTTTCCATGTCCCCAATATAGAGGCTTTAGTGAAATTGAAAGTAGGTGATATTGAGCATCTTTTAAAAAAAAAAATTTTTTTTGCAGTCGTAATGGTAAGATTGTGAAATTTCAATTGTACATTATTCTTTGTCAGACACTATATAAGTGTGCCCTTTCACGCCTTGTGCCCACCCCCCACCCCCCTTCCCCCTGGTAACCACTAAATTGTTCTCTTTGTCCGTAAGTTTATCTTCCACATATGAGTGAAATCATACGATGTTTGTCTTTCTCTGTCTGCTTATTTCACTTAACATCATACCCTCAAGGTCCATCCATGTGGCTGTGATTGGGATGATTATGTCTTTTTAATGGCTGAGTAGTATTCCATTGTATATACATATATACACCACATCTTCTTTATCCAATCATTGGTAGATGTGCGGTTGGGTTGCTTCCACTTCTTGGCTATAGTGAATAATGCTGCAATGAACATAGGGGTGCATAAGTCTCTTTGAACTGTTGATTTCAAGTTCTTTGGATAAATACCCAGTAGTGGAATGGCTGGATTATGTGATATTTCTACTTTTAACTTTTTGGGAAATCTCCATACTGTTTTCCATAGTGGCTGCACCATTTTGCATTCCCACCAGCAGTGAATTTTCTCTACAACATCTCCAACATTTGTTATTTTTTGTCTTGGTGATTATAGCCATTCTAATGTGCCTAAGATGATCTCTAAGTGTCGTTTTGATTTGCGTCTCCCTGATGATTAGTGATGTTGAACATCTTTTCATGTGCCTGTTGGCCCTCTGTATACCTTCTTTGGAAAAATGTCTGTTCATAACCTCTGCCCATTTTGTGATTGGGTTGTTTGTTTTTTTGTAGTTCAGTTGTATGAGTTCTTTATGTATTATGGAGATACTGAGCCTCTTAATGTCAAGTTCGTATGCCCGATGTGCAGTAAGCCCATCTCTGAGACTTGGAGATGGAGAGAGGTTTATTTGAATTGGCCAAAACAAGAAGTCGAGAGGTTAGGTTCTCTCAAATCCACCTTAACAGGAGAGGAAGGCAGGGGGTTTATAGAGCTAAGGGGGTTGGCAGGAGGAGTTTCAGAGAAACAAAGAGGTGATCCGTATTCCTTTCACTCCAGATGAGCCCTTGGGCAATCTGAGTTCAGGTGTCAGGGGCAGCTGGGGGCTGGTTATTTGGTGGTCCTTAAAGGCATTCCTTTTCTTCTGTAAAAGAAGCTCATAAATCCTTGTGACCCTTGAGTTACCCCTCAGGTTAAACACGAAAACAGCAAATTGACAAGATTAACTTCTTTTCATAATAAGGTCGAAAGGTAATCTTATTGAATATTTACAGTAACCCTCAGGTACCAGCTTCATAGCTACTCAGGATATATTAGTTGAGTTGAATTAATTTTGTTCAGGAATTCTGCTGTCCTTTTGTAAACAACTTCCTTATATTTTGGCTTATTCACCCTGATAAAAGCTAACGTTCACCCTGGTAAAAGCTGAAAGCAAAAGATTTAGGTGAAATGACTCATAGCATTTTAGGAGGAATTTACAAAGCTCTGTGTCTCTCGTACTCCCTAAACTGTTCATCCCCCAATGCTCCAGTTTTATCATCTTCATGCATGGTCTCCTTGTATCTTCGTCCTTCTCTTGCAGGCGTTCTTCTTCAAGAAGGTATGTGGCTTTTCTGCCTCATCGTTTCTCCTTTTTTAATGGCTCAACTCATTGGACCGTAGTCCCTATTTTTTTCAGCTTTTGCAGGGCTGTCTCTTATGCTGTGTTGCATTTGGCTGTTCCAGCTAGGTTGGTGAGGGCGGTTGGGAGAACGCACACCCCTGCTGCCTCATGGACTTCGGATTCTGAATTTTCTCGTTTATGACTGCATCCTGGTTCTGTTAATGCTGTTGATCTAAGATGGCCTTGTATGTGCACTGAATTTTAGAAGACTAAGAAAATAGAAGAATGGGAACTTTCTTTGCAGAAGTGGGAAAAACTAAAGGGAGAATAGTTTTGCATAGGGGCATTTGAACTATCATCAGTATGTGCTTGTACATGTATGTACTTGTATTGTACATGTATTATACAAGTACATGTATGTACTTGATTTACAAGAACGTAAATCAGTACCTTCTTTTCTCAGTCTGTGTAATGGACAAGTTTATGAAAGATTGTGGAGAGCAGAATTTTATAGAGTCCATAGTTCTTTTTCATTAACCTATTAATTTCAGAGACATATTATGTTAGAGGCTGATTAATATCCAAATGTCAGTGGTCTCTCATGCTCTCCCCATTTAGTCAAGTATACAAAGTCTGTAAACAAGGCTTTGATGCAGCTCTGAGTCTCTGGATCTCTGGTTCTTTGTACAAAGCAGATAAACTGGTAGTTTTATATGTTCTGCAAGTAGAGGTTTTTTTTTTTAAGGCTTATCTTTCCATTGTTCTTTTATAGTGTAAACAGACACATATATATAGATATCCTATCCTGGGAGATAAACAGTAGCACACTGTATATACTTTTCTCCACCTTGCTTTTTTCATTTAACGACATATTCTCGTGATCATTCCACAGTAGTATATAATTCATATATGCCTCAATTCTTTTTTAAAAACTGCCTGGTACTTCATTATACAGTGTTCCATATTTTATTCATTTAATCCCCTGTTGATAGACATTTGGGTGGATTCCAGCATTTTGATATAACTAGTGCTCCATACATACATCTTTTCACATTTTTCACATTTTTGCCAGTAATATTAAGAAATCATTTTCTGGGTTCCTTTTTTTCTTTCTCTACAATTTTTATGTACTTTTACTATTTTTCCCTTTCCTGTCTACTTCTAACTTTTTTTTATTGCCTTATGTCATGTGCTTCTTAGGGATATAGAGAAAAGTGTGGTTTTTAAAAATATATATACATTTTTAAATTTGTGTTAATGGAGTGTTTTTCTTCAGCTGTTTAATAGCTAACTGAAAAAAATAGCTAATTGAATTTTCTATTCTTGAATTAATACCTGATGCATGGACTCATAAAAAAGTTGAAATCAAATTCTGTTCCGATTACCTATGCAAAGTTGCTGCCAATTAAAAGTTTTGCTTACCTGTGATTAGAAATTTCCCTATGTCACTGCTACTATACCTGTCCGAATCTGAGACTGCATCCGTACCACTGAATGCTGAGAAGAAACGTGGAGAACTCAGTCAGCTTTTGCTATCCTGTAGAGCATCTGCCTGTGTTGGTGTATCTCCTTCCAGCACATACTTTTGATCACCTTTTGAAAAACACTTATTGTATCAGTCAGAACTCTTATTAGCAAGCGGCTGAAACAACTCCAATAAAAGGAAGTTAGGTAGCTTACAGAATTGCCAGTAGGTTTGGAGACCCAGAATCAGAGACCAAGGCTGTGCAGCTAGGAACAGTGCCCTTTTGGCCTAAGAAGTACACTGTTGCCACTGAGCACGAGATGTTGCGGCCTGCACTGCCAGCGGTATGAGACACTGGGTGTTGCTGCCCTTGAACCTAATGTTGCTGCAACTTTTTTTCACGAGGGAAAAAAATCATGTAGGTGGCACATAGTAAGTCCTGTGGAAGTGTTAAATAAATAGGTAAAACTACATAAGATAATTTGTGTATCCACTTATAATTTATTTACCCACTTCATCAGCTTTACTCCAATTGTAACAGCTTTTGTTAAGCTGACAGCAAGCAGATGAATGAAGCTATCGCCATTAAACCCTCCTGTTTTGAAATCCCCACTCTTTCCTCAGGATATTTTGCATATTACATGGGACATTAACTGTGTGACAAGAGGGTATATCAATGTGTATATTAATGTTAGTAAAGCTTTTTAATATTTTTTCTACTCCAGTGATCATCTTGTGGACCCCCTGGGTTGGGTGTATCTGCTGTTGGAGACAGCTCTGCTGTTTCTTGTAGTTAGGATTATAGGCACAATTAGAGTGGTAGGTTATCAATAGTGAACTGTAGTTCAGGGTTTGTTTTTGTTTTTGATTTTGTTTTTCTGAGGAAGATTCGCCCTGAGCTCACATCTGTGTCAGTCTTCCTCTGTAAGTGGGTTGCTGCCATAGCATGGCCACCGATCAGTGGTGTGGGTCCATGCCTGGGAACTGAACCCAGGCCGCCAAAACAGAGCACGCTGAACTTAGGCCACAGGGTTGGCTCCTGTAGTTCAGTTTTTAAAATCTATGTGGGAAAAGTCTTAAGGTCACCAAAAAAACTTAAATCATTAATTTACAAGGTTAAATATATAAATAATAAGAAAGAGTTTACTGATAGTGCTTGAAAATTATATAGACATTGAGGGTTTTTTTTTCTTCCTGAGGAAGATTTGTCCTGAGTTAACATCTGTGCCAATCTTCCTCTGTTTTGTGTGTGAGCCACCACCACAGCATGGCCACTGATAGACAAGCAGTGTAGGTCTACACCTGGGAACTGAACCTAGGCTGCTGAAGCAGAGTGTGCTGAACTTAACCACTAGGCCACCGGGGTTGGCCAGACATTGAGGTGTTTTGTTTTTTTTTAAAGATTGGCAGCTCAGCTAACATCTGTTGCCAATCTTCTTTTCTTCTTCTTCCTCTTCTTCTCCCCAAAGCCCTCTAGTATGTTATTATATGTTCTAGGTATAGGTCCTTCTGGTTGTGCTGTGTGGGACACTGCCGCAGCATGGCTTGATGTGCAGTGCCATGTCTGCACCCAGGATCCGAACCGGCAAAACCCTGGGCTACCCAGGTGGAGCACGTGAACTCAACCACTCGGCCATGCCAACCCTGACAATGAGGTTTCTATGTCTCTTGTTCTAGAGACCAGTTCCTTCATTTATAGTTGCATACCCTTTAATGAGTTTCTTTAACTACTGTCAGCCTGGCCAGAATCCAAATAGAAGCTTTTGTTACTCCTCATGTATAATTGTATTAGAAGCTGCAATAGGTAATTTTCTTCTCTTTGTCTCATTTGTTTTCTACAGCTGGCATAACTTTGACAACAGATTGCCTTGAAGATAGCCTCCTTACATGCTACTGGGGCTGCAGCGTTCAGAAATTATATGAAGCTCTGCAGAAGCACTTTTATTGCTTCCGAATAAGCACGCCCCAAGCACTGGAAGATGCTCTGTACAGCGAGTATCTCCATCAAGAGCAGTACTTGTATCCTTTTAGATATTAGACCTTTTATGGAGAAAAGAAAGTATTGTAAGTTATTATTGATCACCTTTGGTATATTACTGTATTTTTGGTTATAGTGGCAATTTACCTTTACATCTTCAAAAGTATTAAAAAGGACAGCAAAGAAGAAATATATTGCCAGTTACCAAGAGATACTAAAATTGAAGACTTTGGTACAGTGCCTAGATCTCGCTATCCATTGGTAGCACTGTTGACTCTAGCTGATGAGGATAACCGAGAAATTTATGATATTGTAAGTAATTTAAAAATTCTAGAAGCATTAATTTTAAGTGATTTGGATGATGGGTCTTAATTATTTGGTGAAATAGAAAAAGTTTTATTTTAATTTCTGAGGATATACATTTGGCCTGGACACTTTATTTTTGAAAAATGAATACATGGGAAGTATACCTGTATGATTTTTATATGTGTAACAGTGCCTTCAGAGTGTAACTTATTTTTTCCGTATGAGTTGCAAGAATATGATTTTATTGAGAAAATAAAAGATATAAGTTAATTTCATTATTCCGTATTCTATCATGTTTACTACATAGAGGAAGTCTGTTGGAAGCATGTTTATTCTTAACATTTTTAGCACTGAATAAACAAGTGTAGTTATCTAAAGTGCTCAAAATGAAGACATTATCCACTTTTTTCTTTGTGTGCTTGCAGTCGTCTTGTTTCCATTATAATCCCTGCTGCACCTACATCTTATATATGTTTGGTCTCTATATTTTCAGTAATTATAGTAATAATTACTTTTCTCATTATGTGCTAATTATTTCTTTAGTCTGGTGGTTTATCCCTGTTAGGAAGTTAAAAGCATCTCAGAGATTTGAGCCCTGACAATCCTCTAAGTATGGTAAAAGCTTGTATATGAAATAAACTTTTGGTGAAATTGTATCATGGTAAGAATGCACTTATACACAATTTACTACTTTTCTAAAGTGTGTGGGTTAGTTATATTCGTTAATAAAGATATGGTAACATTTTTTATGACACTCTGTAATATGCAAAGTACATTCGCTAATGTTAACCTTGTGTGTTAAGGCAAACATCTTTCTTATACAGATTGAAACAGAGTCAGAAGAATCTCAGTCATTCAGGAAGAGATGAGCTTGACTCTGAGCCTTTGTGGTCCTTTTTGTTTTAGATGGGAATGCGTGTCTCCCTGAAACAAGCCTGCACTGAGCTTTGGAAAGTGCAGACCCATACTGGGAAATCTAGGCCCTGCTCCTGTGCACTTAAGCCTCTCTGTGTTTTAGGTTTTTAATCTTATCAAATTGAAGTTCTATTGAGCTGAAGTCAGCTTGTTTTTTCCCGAATAAAAGTCTTATCAATGGCACTGTGTATCCAGAACCTAGCACAGTGCCTGGGACACCGTAGGTGCTCAATAAATTTGATAAGTGGAAAAAAAGTCATAGCCATGTTGGCGAGCCTCCGAGCTGGCAGCAGAACTCCTGGGTTGCGTGTGCATGAAGTAGTGCAGGAGAGCCCTCCTCAGGTGAGGATGGGTAAGCCCTGTGAAGTAGTGTGCAGGAGAGCCCTCCTCAGGTGAGGATGGGTAAGCCCTGTGAAGTGGTGTGCAGGAGAGCCCTCCTCAGGTGAGGATGGGTAAGCCCTGTGAAGTTGGTGTTCCATACTTGCAGCCTCTCCGTTCCTCGTGCTGCCTACCCAGGCACCGCAGCCCTTCTCTCACCGCCGTGTCGCCATCTCTTCTGAGCTCTCCTGCTTCTTTGCTTTCCTTCAAAACAAAAAGGGTCAGAACTGTGCCCTTGCTTCCAGCCCCGCCTCTGCGTTCTGTCCCCTCACTGCTGGTCCTCTCTGTTGACTTGAGGTGCTCAGGGTCTTTGTCTTCTGTATTCCTCCCTCTAGCCAGAGAGGGATTTTGTGTGTGCGGTAAATTTACATAACATAAACTTCAGCGCTGTCACCGCCTTGCAGCGTACAGTTTAGTGGCGTTGTAAACGGGAAAACGTGCTCTCAGGCCCTGAGCCGCCAGAAGTGAAGACTGCCTGTCTCCAGTGTAGCCGTGCAGGCTTGTTCCCACGGAGGGCCTGGGCGCGGGGCCCTCGGGGGAGCAGTCATGTCCTCCTTTCCTTTGAATACTTCTCCCTGCCTGGCTCTTCGTCTGTGTCAGGGTTTGGTTTTGTTTTGTTTTTAATTTATTTACTTATTTTATTGAAGTATAATTGATAGATAGCATTATGTTAGTTTCAGGTGTACAACATAATGATTCAATATTTGTATATGTTGCAAAAGGATCACCACAATAAGTCTAGTCAACATCCATCACCACATAGTTACAAAAATTTTTCTTTCTTGTGATAAGGACTTTTAAGATCTCCTCTCTCAGCAGCTTTCAAATATGCAGTACGTTATTACTGCCTACAGTCGCCGTGCTGTACCTTACATCCCCAGGACTTAGTTATTTTACAGCTGGGTCTGTGTCTTATTCTTCTTATCGGCAGACTCCCTCCCTATTTTCCTGTTAATCCTGGCTTCTCCATCTCTTCTCTCTCAGATTGGGCCTAATATTGGAACTAAAGCATATTTATTAGTATATTTTGTATTAATGTTCTCTGGTCTTAATTTTAGAAGCAAACTGAGCATTTCATAGTTCTTTTTCATATGTGGTTTTTCAATATTTTATCTTGGGGTCAGAAATGCTGAATCTAAAAATTAAACTCTCCCATTCCTATTGTAACAGTAAAAATTACATTTATATAGTGCAATTAGGACCCAGTTTGTTATTTTAGTTAGATAAGGGAAGGCAGGGATTATTGTTCCAAGATTTTGACTTTAAAAATTTTTTCACTTTTATTTAATTACATTAGTTTATTTTCTGTATTATTCAAATAATATGTTTTTGGCAGGCAGTAAAATTAGAAAATCTAGATAAGCCAAAGGGAAAAAAGTATAATCACCTATATTCTATCATACAAAGATAACCACTATGAATATTTGTATCTTTCCAGACGTTTATATATGTAATTTTTTTTTTTGTAAGGAAGATTGGCCCTGAGCTAACATCTGTTGCCAGTCTTCCTCTTTTTGCTTGAGGAAGATTGTTGCTGAGCTAACATCTGTGCCAATCTTCCTCTATTTTACACTGCCACAGTGTGGCTTGATGAGCGGTGCTAGGTCTGCGCCCGGGATCCGAACCTACAAACCCTGGGCTGACTAAACGGAATGCACAAACTTAACCACTATGCCACTGGGCCGGCTCCTATATACGTAATTTTTAAACAAAAATGGGATCAAATTGTACATACTGTTTTGTGGCCTGCTTTCATTTGATAGTATATTTTAAAGATCTTTTCCATATCAACTATGTATCTACAACTACATATATATTTATAACTAGCATGATAGTAGCTTCAGAGGCTTTTAATATTAAATCAGATGACAGGGTTGTGAGTATGAGGTGATAACATTGCTGTTTCTTGCCAGTCCTATCATTTTGATTTAGTATTAAAAGCCTCTAAAGCCATTACCAAATTAATAAATCTTTATAAAGCTGTAAAGAATATTGTATGTTTACAACCATAGTAGGTTTTGTTTTTTAACTTGGACATGATTTCAAAAACTTGCAAAGATAAAAAAGCAAAAGAACGCTCATATACCGTTTACCCAGATCTCTTATTGTTAATTGTTAACATTTGCATCATCATTTGCCCATATATGTATGTGTGTCACATATATATATATTTTTTTAATGAATGATTTGAGAGTAAATTGTATACACGATGATTCTTTATCCCTGCATACTTCAGTGTGTATTTCCTAATAGGGATGTTCTAAGCACAGTATAGTTATCCACATTGTAAATCCAGCATTGAGGTAATATTGTATCCAGTCTATCACCTCTCACGGTGTTCTTACAACTTTTCCTTCTGGTACAGACCAGTCTGGAGTCAGATACTGTATTTGTCGTGTCTCTTTAGCCTCCTTTAATCTGGAACATTTCACAGCTTTCCTTTGTCCTTCATGGTGTCAGCATTTTTGCAGAACGCAGTTGCATATGCGTTGTAGAGTAGAACGTTCCTTTGTTTTGTCTGTCGCACGGCTGTCAGGATGAGGTTGGAGCTCTGCACTGGCAGCCCGTGTGTGCGCAGGTGGTGATGTGGGCTTTCAGGGCATCGCCTCTCCAGGCGTGTGGGAGTCTCTTCCCTCATTGGTGATGTCAGTTGTGGTCTCTCGGTCAAGATGCTGTCTAGTTTCTCCACTCTTCCTTTTTTTCCATCCCTTGCAAATAATAAGCAGTCTCTGGGAAGGCCCTTGAAGATCACGCAGATATCCCACTCTCTATCAAAAATTCCTGTCCACTGATGATTCTTACCAGATGTATCTTTACTGTGATGGTTACAAAATGGTTATTTTTCCAACTCCAGCCCTCCAATCAGCCCTCAGCATTCTGCTAGAGGTAAGAGACCTCCCTTTTATTTCTTAGTTTATTTATTGTTATCCATAAAGCCTTAGGAATTCCTTTTTTTCCCAGTGGTTTATAATTCATTACTGAATTTAATTATTTTTGCTCAAACTGCCCTCTCCCTACTTCCTGCCCAAGACCGAGAGTTTGTTAGCAAATACCGTGTCCATAAATTACTTGGATTCGTTCTCCCAAAAGTCCAAAAACTATCTAAAGAAGCGTACTCATATGTCACTCGCTTCCATATCTCCTCCCCTGGTTCTTACACACCCCAGTCCTTAGAGATAACCAGGTTCATTGTTTCTCATTTATACTTCTTATGTTTCTTATTGTAATGATAAGAAGATGCAGATATCGATAGATAGAGATACATAGATTTATAAGTGCTTATATTTATATCATATATATATTCTTTGTATATATAATATATATATTTCTTCTTGTTTTCTCTCTTTCTTACGTAAAAGGTAGCACACTATACATGTTCTTGCTTTTTTCACTCTATAACATCTCCTGGAAATCCCTCCGAATTCGCCCTGGAGCTCCTCCTCACTTTTCCAGCCGCACAGCGCTCCATTGTGTGTAGGGTGCGGGCACCATGGTTAGTCAGCCAGTCTCCTGTGGTTGGAGATTCAGGGAGTTTCCAGTATTCTCCAATAACAAATAATCTTTCGCTGAATAATCTGTGCGTATGTATTTTAGTATTGTTGAGGTTGTGTGGTTGAAGGGTAGATGCATGTCCTTCTGTTACATATTGCCAAATTCCCCTCCACTGGGCTGGCACCTTTGGGGTTGTGCCTTTTGTTTTTTTAACACATTTCCACCAGCAATATATGAGAGTGACCTACTTCTCCATAGAGTGTGTTGACAAGCTTTTGAGTTTTTGTTAATCTGGTAAGTGAGAAATGCTATCTCAGTGAAGTTTTAATTTGCACTTAGCATATTCTGAGTGAAATTAAACATCTTTTAATATTGCCAAGGACCATGTTTTTATCTTTTTGTGAATTGTCTGTTCATGTCTTTTGCCCATTTTTCTACAGGACTTTTGTCACTTTTTCTTAAATTTGTAAATGTTCTTCATAAATTAAGAATATTACCCCATAGCCTGTGATATACATGGTGAACTTTTTTTTTTAACGATTTTATTTTTCCTTCTTCTCCCCAAAGCCCCCTGGTACATAGTTGTGTATTTTTAGTTGTGGGTCCTTCTGGTTGTGGCATGTGGGACGCTGCCCCAGCACAGCCTGATGAGCGGTGCCATGTCCACGCCCAGGATCCGAACCGGTGAAACCCTGGGCCGCCGAAGCAGAGCGCACGAACCTAACCACACGGCCATGGGGCCGGCCCCCATGGTGAACTTTTTATTCGGTTGTCATATGTCTTTTGACTTTGCCTATGGTGCTTTTTGTCATGCAAGTTTTAAATTTTTTGTAGTCACATTTGTCAAATTTGTCTACCTCTGGGTTTGAGTAATAGTTAGAAAGTCTTTCCCTACACTGACACTAAAAAGGAATTCACATGTTTTCTGCTAGTACTTGTGTAGTTTTATTTTTTACAATTAGATCTCTTGTGCTTTGGAGTTTATTCTTATGTATGATATGAGGAATACATCTAATTTTATATTTTTCCAAATAGCTGTCTTTTTGTCCCAATAGTTTCTATTATTAAAAAGTCTCCTTTGCCCATTGATTTGAAATGCCATCTTTGTCATATTTGGGTCTGTTTCTAGACTGTTTATTCTGTTCCATCCATCTATTCATGTTCCAGTACCACAGTGTTTTAATTTTAGAGGCTTTGTAATATATTTTAATATCTAACTCATCTTTTTTTTTTTAGGCAGATTGTCCCTGAGCTAACATCTGTTGCCAATCTTCCTCTTTCTCTCTTTGTTTTTTTTGCTCCTCAAAGCCTCACTACCTAGTCTGGTTCTTCTATGTGGGATGCCGTCACAGCATGGCTTGATGAGCCATGCGTAGGTCCGCACCCAGGATCCAAACTGGTGAACCCCAGGTCACCAAATTGGAACACACAAACTTAACCACTCAGCCACAGAGCCTGCCCCTGTGTGTTAATATCTGACTACGCTTAGTCCCCCTCATGGGTTTCTTTTCACTATTTTCCTAGCTATTATTATGTGTTATTTTTCCATATGAGAATTGTAGAGTCAACTCATAGCTCTGTAAGAAAGCTCATTAGTATTTTTGTTGGGATCATATTAAATTTGTAAATTTGAGTATAATTAAAATAATTCTGGCAAAAACCTATCAGTAACTGGTTCCTCTTTAGTGACTATGATTTTAAAAAAATTAGTGTAACTTTTCCAATTTATCAACCTCTTCTTTTTATTTAAGCATTTTTCACATATCTATGAAATAATATAAGGAAGTTAAGTACTGACCAGTGTTCAATTTTTATTTTAGATTTCCATGGTGTCAGTAATTCATATTCCTGATAAGACTTATAAACTTTCCTGTAGAATATTATATCAGTATTTACTCCTGGCTCAAGGTCAATTTCATGATCTTAAGGTAAGTTGTACCCTATAGTCTTATCTCTGTCCCTTTTGTTTTAAGAGTTTTGAAGAATGAACGTTTGTAAAGAGAGAATAGTAGTTTTCAGTTAGTTATCATATAAGTTAACTATTATTTGCCATTAGATTTGCGAGCTCATAAATTTTGAGCAGCTCTTATGACCCCCGATTTAAGAGTAATTGTCATTAAACTTGTTTCTTTGATTTTCAGCAACTTTTCATGTCTGCAAATAATAATTCCGCTCCCTCCAGTAATTCCTCTCCGGAAGACAAAAGTGCAGACCGAAGTCTGTTGGAAAAGGCTGGACTGTCTGAAGGCGAGCTGGAGCCTCCTGAGGAGAGCAGCAGGGACTGTGTCGTGTGCCAGAACGGGGCTGTGAACTGGGTGCTGCTGCCGTGTCGGCACGCGTGCCTGTGCGACGGCTGCGTCAGGCACTTCCAGCAGTGCCCCATGTGCAGGCAGCTTGTTCAGGAATCCTTTGCACTTGGTAGTCAAAAGGAGCAAGATAAAGACAAACTGAAAAAAACTCTTTGAGGATGTCATTACATCCTCAAGTTGAGAAGTACACTTTCCACTGAAGATGCAGAAATTTGTGTTCTTGGAATTCATCATAACATGGAATCTACAGTGTTGACCATCAACAAAAATTCTATTTTAACTTCCTGTTTGTATGGATGGTGGCAATTAATTATTTCTTCTTGTTCAGTATGGTGAATACTGGAATACTATCTGTGTTAATACATAAAATTCATTCAACTCTTGAGAAGAATGTAAATGTTTAGCCTTTTATCAGCTAGAGGGTTTTGTATAAGGTTGATTAGAAAAATTCTGAAAAGCAATCCATCAAAAATTTCTGAGGAGGTAAAAGTCTTAAGATTTCTGAATGTTTTCCTTAGATGTAATCTGGAGTGCAGTTGAGAAAAAACTGAATTCTTCTTAAAGTAATTGTATGTTCCTCACTTTACAAAGGAGTTGAAAAGGGCTTCTAACTTTAAATCCTTTCCTGAAATATCAGTTTTTATAAATATCCATCTATTTGGCTTCTAATTTTCCTTATAATCATAGTCACATAAACTCATCTTAATTTTTAAATATAGCTTATTAAATCATAAATGCAAGAAACAATTCTTGACTGCTCTCAGTTTGTCAGATTAAAATGATACTCATTTATAGGAAGCAGATATATAAAACATGGATAATAAAATTTCTTGGATAATTAAATTTATTGTCAGCTGTGATTAGATGACCAGCATGGGACCTACCAGGGGAAATTTGTGAGACTCTCGAGGCCTTCCCTCACGTTTCCTCCTGCACGGTGGATCCATCCAACACTGGAGGGGTTTTGGAACCAGAAAAATTGTTGAAAGAAACAGCTTTTTTTCTAGTGTGTTTTTATTCCAAATAAACCCATATCCTTCCGAGTGTAACCTACCTCGTTATCTCTTGTGACATCCTCATAAGAGTGGAGGAAGCTGATAGGAAAAAGCCCCATCCCCAACTCTTTCCAAGGTGACTGAGAAGAAAGTGAATCAGAACTTCCTGTGTCTTCAGTGGAATTACCTTCAACTCACCAAGAAACTAGATCACAGTAAATAAACTATGACATCCAGGGAGATTTTCAAGCCTTTTTTGTCCTGTTTATATTAAGAATGATGCCTTGTCCTTGTGTCAGTGTTTTCATGTAATACCATTTCATTCCAATCAAATATAGCACTCTGAAAAAGACATTACCTATTTTCATTTTATAAACCAAATCAAACTTTGATCTGCATTTAACAGCTATGTAATAAATATCTTGTAGGGGCAGATACCTTTTGGGAGTCTGGGTTACAAAGAATCAGGCAGGCCTCCTGACCTCATAGTATCCATGCCAGAAGCACATGCTCACCTCAGAAATTCCTAAGGCCATGTGCTGACCCTGCCATGGGAAGCGGGGCGTCCACAGCTCCCGTGCCTGCTGCCGTCAGCCAGCAGTTCTCTGGGAAACCCACTCTGTGGTGTCAGTGTGGGAGATGCTCAGATCATTTCCCCGGTCCTAGTCCACCTGCTTCCCTTTACAGATCCGTTTGCACCTAAACTGCCCTAGACACATAGTTGCTTTCTCATCTGAGATACATTCCACCTGCAGTCTTACTCCATTTTTCATAGCTTTTTATTGTAGTAAAAGGTTCATAACATAAAATTCAGCATTTAACCATTCTTTAGTGTACAATTCAGTGATACTAAGTACATTCACATTGTTCTGTTATTGTACCATCACCAGTATTCAGCTTCAGAACTTTCCATCATCCCAGACTGAAACTCTACCCATCAAACGCTGACACCCCATCCCCTCCCTGCAGCCCTGGTACCCACCGTTCTGCATTCTGTGTCTGTGAATATGACTACTTTAGGTACTTCATATATGTGGAATCAACAATATTTGCTGGCTTATTTCACTGAGTATGTTTTAAAGGTTCATCTGTTTTGTAGCATGCATCAGAATTTCCTTCCTTTTTAAGGCTGAATGATACTCCATTTTATGTACGTACCACATTTTGTTTATCCATTCAACCATCGTTTTTCATAACTCTTAAAGATGATTTGTCCTGCTGTGAAAGTAATTCTTTCCTGCCCTCAGGGGTAATAATATGAGGAATTTGGTAGGTAATCAAGTAAAAACAAGAGGCTTATGTCAGAATTTGCTGACGGCAGTGAATAAGTGACGTTTTGTGAGAACGTCTATAAAAGCATTTTATTTGAATAGATTATTGGATAAAATATTTGGTTTGTATAGATTAGTTGCTGCTTTCCAAAAATCCCAATCAGGGCTCCATTAAGCAGACTTGACAGGTGACTAGCCATCTCCTCCTTCTGTGATGCTTTCTTCCCAACTTGGTGCCTGTGAGAGTTCTTAAGGTCTAAAGCGGCTCTGGGGGAGGAACTTAAAAACGGTTACTTAGAGACTACAACATAAGTCATTGAATTATCTCCCATGGGGCTATCGTATTTTTGGTGTCTTCCCATTGATTGTGGAGTGAAGAGCTCTGTCTTGGCTTGTGGGAATTTGAAGCATCAGCATGGACAAGCTGGGGTTTGGGCAGGGTAGAAGGACCCTGTACTCTCTCTCAGTCCTGCCTCAGACAGGTCCTAGACCTCTGAATAATTCCTCAACTCCATTTCCCAGATTTTGAACACCGAATCCCCCTCGCGCTCTCTCCATCTCTCTCTCTCTCTCTATATTTTCCTCTTGAATCTTTTCTTCCTTGTCATCATGATTTCTAGTTCCTGGGTCCTTGAGTGTATTGAATAATTCATTAACTTCCCCCTGGGTTCCCTGCTCAACTATTTCAAATGTGTTTTTGTCTTATCTTGCTTTCTTGACCTCTCCACTCTACCTGCCCCCACCAACCCACAAACTTGGCTTAACTTTATGTCTTTACTGCTGTTGCCACAGAAGGTCAAGTGGCCTAACCAATTCAGGGAGTTCACCTCCAAGCCATGTTGTTTAGTTGCGTACAGGCCTTCACTGCTGGTCAACAATCCTTTTATTTTTTCTCCTAGTGGACCCCATAGCAAACTCCCGATAGCTGTTTCTCTTCCACTCTTCTCAATTCTGTTCCCCACCACTGCTGCGTCACTTTAGCAAAGAACCTTCGAGAGCAGTATGATGTGGTATGGAGGTTAAGATGATAGATGCCGAAATCAGATGTCTTGGGTTTTTACCCCAGCTCTGCCACTTGTCCTTTGGACAAATTGCTTAACCCCACTCTGCTTCACTTTCTTCATTTATAAAAATGGTGATAATAGAACCTCTACCTTTGGGCAGTTGAGAGGATTACACCAGTTAATAGGTGTGAAGTGCTTAGACCTGTGCATAGCACATAGCCCTATGTGTGACAGGTATTACTACTTTGTTTAGTTATTCAAAGCCTGTAGACATTCTTTTATTTCTTCCCCCAAAGAGGAGGTGTATTATATCTACTTTTGAGGCCAACACTGTACTAGTGTTCTTGATCTAATCTCTGCTCCCTGAACTCACTTGATTATTCATTCGATAATTAATTATTGAGTGCCAAAGACATTACAGATTATTTGGGCATGAGGATATAGCAGTGAAAAAAATAGGCAAAACCCCTTGTCTCTCGTGGAGCTTAGATTCTAGAGAGAGACTGACAAATTGGTAGGAAAATATATCAGGTGGAGGTCAGTGCTCTGAAGAAAATCAAGGCTGGGATGAGTGAGTAGGGGATAGGAAGGACGGGCGGGGTTACTGCTCAGACACGATGGGCAGGGAAGGGCTCATCGGGAATTTTAGTAGAGACCTGAAGGAGGCCAGGAAGTGAGCCGTGTGAATCTCTGGGCAAAGAGGCCCTAACAACTACAAGGCTGAGAGTTGCAATGTACTGAGAACGGAATGACTGGAAAACCAGTAGGTTTGGAGGAAAAGAGCAATTTTGCTTTTGTTTGGTTTTAGATGCCAGTTGGAAATCCAAGTAGGAATGTCAAATTAACAGGTGAATTTAGTACTCTGAAGTTCAGGGGAGAGGTTGGGCTGAAGATAGAAATTTGGGGGTCATTATCGTGGTATTTAAAGGCATGAGTCTGCATGAGATGGCCAAGGGGGAGAGCGCAAGAATGGAAGTGGCCCACGGACTCAGTGGGTTCTCCAACGTTCAGGGAGGTTAGGGAGGAACCAGTAGACTGAGAAGGAGCAGACGGTGAGGTGGGAGGAAACTGGAAGAGTGGTCTTCACAAACCATTCCCAAAGGGAGTGGTATCACACCACCATTTTATTATGCTCACAGATTCCGGGGTCAGGTATTGGGACAGGACATAGCAGGCATGGATGGGCCTGCCTGGGGCCTTAGTTGGGAAGACTCACATGACTTGGGCTGACTCAAAATGAGCTGAGGGGCTTCTTCACTCACGTATTTGGTGCCTGGGCTGTGATGACTCGAAAGCTGGGCTGAACCAGGACAACATGTGGCTTCTCCATGTGGCTTGGACTCTGTCACAGCCTCGTGGTCTCACGTAGCCAGATTTCATAAATGAGGGCTCTGGATTCCAAGAGCGGTTTTCCTAGAGAACAAGGCAAAAGCTGCATGCCTTTTTTGTTTTGTCTTTTTCTCTTTAATAGCTTAATGGAGATATAGTCTACGTACTATACAATTCCCCCACTAAAAATGTACTGTTAAATAGTATTCATGTACCCAGAGTTTTTCAATCACTACTACAGTCAATTTCAGAACAGTTTAATTACCCCCGAAAAGAAACCTTGTGCACATTAGCAGTCATCCCCAATCACTGCCATCTTCCCCCAACCTAGGCAACCACCAACCTACTTTCTGTCTCTATAGGTTTGCCTATTCTGGACATTTCATGGAGTGGAGTCACATGTAGAACCACAAGTGGAATCATACAATATGTGGCCTTTTGTGACTGGCCACAAAATCTCACTTAGCATAATGATTTTAAGGTTCATCCATGTTATAGCATGAGTTAGTATTTTATTCCTTTTTATTGCCAAGTAACATTCCATTGTATAGATATACCACTTTCTGTTTATCCATTCATCAGTTGATGGACATTTGGATTTTCCCACTCTTTGGCTATTATGAATAATGCTGCTGTGAACATTGATTATAAGTCTTTGTGTGGACGTATGTTTTAATTTCTCTTGTGTATATACCTACAAGCGGAAGTGCTGGGTCATGTCATAACTCTATGTTGAACATTTTGAGGAACTTCCCAACTGTTTTTCAAAGTAGCTGCACCATTTTATGTTCTTACCAGCAATGTATAAGGGTTCCAATTTCTCCACATCCTCATCAACACTTGTTATTAGCTTTTTGGTTATTGCCATCCTAGTGTGTAGTAATGGCATGACTGTGGGAGTTTTTAAATAATTTTTAAAAATGTAATTGTGGTAAAAAAAATACATAACAAAATTTACCATCCTAACCGTTTTTAAGTGTTGCAGTTTAGTAGTGTTAAATATATTCGCATTCTTGTCCAATGGATCTCCAGAACATTTGCATCTTCCAAAACTGAAACTCTATATCTGTTAAACAATAACTCTCCATTTCTGCTTCACCCCAGCCCCTGGCAACCACCATTCTGCAGTATATTTGTGGTTTTGAATGCATTTCCCTAGTGGCTAATGATGTTGAGCATCTTTTTGTGTGCTTATTAGCCATTTGTATATCTGGTCAGATCTTTTGCCCATTTTTAAATTGGGG